TTTATTGGCCATTTGATTTATGAGTTGGATAAGTATGTATTAAGGCATATGCTTTCTTAAAACCATTTTTTTCTACAAATTTTGTCATTTTCTATTTAATTTTGTAAAATTTTTGAACTAAAGTTTAAAATTTTTAGTTAATAAAATGAATGAATTTACTTGATAATTTCTTCCCATGGCCTTACGTTTGGGAAATCCTTTATCTCCTCAAACTTATTATAAGTATGAATTTAAATGTTTCTAGTATTTGATGACTTATTTTACTTTAATCCTTTAAACATCTGGACTTAATTGCCAGATATAGAGTAAGGTAGTAGGGTCTAACTCTATTATTATTTATTAATAACCACATTATTGAGATATAATTCACATACTATATACCCTTTTAAAGTGTACAGTTCAGTGGATGTTCATAATATAGCCACAGAGTCATGCAGCCATCACCACTACCTAATTTTTGGACATTTCTTCATTCCAAAGAGTAACTCTGCCCCCATTCGCAGCCTCCCCATTACTGCTTCCCCTCTCGGCCCTAGGCAACTATATCAATTACCTTTGTCTCTATGGATTTGCCTATTCCAGACATTTCATAGAAATAGGTTCACGGAGTATGTGACCTTTGTGTTGTTTCTTTCTTTCACGTTTTCAAGGTTCATCCATGTCAGCATGTATCAGCACTTCATTCCTTTTTATTTCTGAGTAGTATTCTCTTGCATGGCTATACCCCATTTGTTCACCATTCATCACTTGGGTATTCAAGTTGTTTCCACTTTTTGGCTATTGTGAGTAAGGCTGCTCTGAACATTTGTGTACACATCTTTGTGTACAGATGTGTTTTCAGTTCTCTTGGTGTATAATTGCTAGATCATCTGGTAACTCTATGTTTAACTTTTGGGGGAGCTTTCAATCTTTTCCAAAGAGCCTAGGCCATAGCACAGTCCCGCCAGCAATATCCCAGGCTCCATTGTCACCAACATTCCTTATTGTTTCTCATTTTGATTATAGCCATCTTTGTGGGTTTGAAATGATACCTCCTTGCTGTTTTGATTTTTCCCTAATGATTCATGATGTTGAGTATATTTTCATATGCTTCTCAGCCCATTGGCCATTTTTATATCTTTGAAGAAAGGTTAAAAAAAAGATTCCCATATTTTGCCCATTTTTATGTTGGGGTATTTGTTTATTTCTGAGTTACAGAAGTTCTTTATATAGTTTGGCTTTTCTCCTGCATTTGGTCTTTCAAATAAATTCAAACTAATTTTATCAACTTCCACTACCTCCTCTTCACCTCCTAAGTTTCTGGGTATTTTCCAATTGAAGGTCATTTCCTGGGCTCTGGTTGGTGTGGCACAGTTGGTTGGAGCATTGTCCCATACACACTGAAAGTTTGCAGGTTTGATTCTTGGTCACAGCACGTACCTAGGTCACGGGTTTGATCCCTGGTCAGGGTGCCTATGAGAGGCACTATTCAATGTTTCTCTCTCCCCTTTTCTCTCTCTAAAGCAATGAAAAAAAAATCCTCAGGTGAAGATAAAAAAAATGTTGATTCTTAGTCTTTGAGAGTTTTGTTCATTTTCTAAAGCTGTGTCTTATAATGCAAGCCTAGGCATGATCAAGGTGCATTTTGGCTCCTGTTTCTTAGTGTGATCAGCAGCCAGCACACAGGAGTCAGTGTGACATTTCAAATTCACACACTCTGCCATGACTGGTGAGCCAGTCCCACCAGGACAAAAGGAAAGACCGGCTGTGGTTATCACTCCCAGGGGACATCAACATGGAGAGGGGGAGGACAAACATACTTCAATAGTTCATGACACAATCCACAGAAACAAACGCAATCTTGATGGGGGTCCAGGCTGTCCACAGCTATAGGTCCATGTTACAGGGAGCATCAGTGACAGGTAGGATTGGAAGAAGGTGGCATTGCTTCACACCAGTGAAACATCTCCTAAGGATGGGGCAATGTTACTGTGTTCATCACAGGATGGGAGTGGGGTTAGCATGGGGGCTGTTAATTGAGTCACTTCTGATTTTCCCTATCTAGTGGTTAGAAGTACATCACTTTTGGAGGATGCTTAATTCAGTAACATACAGAGTAAGTACCATTTATTATGATGTATTCTCTTTCTCCCTCCATTGTCAGAGTACAGCATAAAGTAGTTTTTCTATCAGAATATGCAACTGGTCCTCCATTTCATTGAACCAATTTAGGATGCTCAATTTCCTTTGTAAAATTGATTTTTCTCTCCTTATTCACATTAAGGGCCTTCCACGTTTTTCATCTGTCATGGCATTATGGTGGAGAGTAGGCACAACTGAAGTCAAGAGAGCTGGTTTCTGACCAGCTCCTCCATTTACCATGCTTGTATCAGCTTCATTTTTGCAAAGTATTTTAAAGGAATTATCTAAACTCAGTTTTGAAGTTCAGGCTTAAAATATCCTCCAATTTCTCAGCATTATCAGATTAAAAATGGCACCCTCCACCCCCATTTAAAAGGCCCTCGATTACTCAGTCTGTCTGGAACATCAGTATGTGTAAAGCACATCATACTGTTGGGTTTCCTACTGGGCTCCATTTCTAGATCAATCTTTGGCTTTTTCATTGATTCTTTACATTTTAATTTCACTGATAACAAAAATGGACATAAATAATGAACACACACATATATCTATTTTAGGAGGGATTATCAATTTCATGCTTTTGAGGTTACAAAATACAGAATTGATTTGTGTCAATTCAAAATATTGCTCTAAATTATTAGTTATCAAATTCTCATGGAGCACATAGAGTGTGCCCAGCATGTCTTGGTGTTTACTGACACAATTTCACCACCATTTTTGACGAGTGGCGGCAATAGAAGGACAAAGGAAGTGTGTGTGATCAAAGGCCACGGGACAGGTAAGAAGGGAGAGTGTAGTGACTCATGCTCCCATCTCTCCCCGCCTACTCTTTCAGGGTAGGTTTTCCCTGAAAATGGGTTTTCACCAGGGCCTGACATCTTAATGGCCTTACACATAAGATCCCTGACATCATCATGAGACTTAGGTTCCTGAGGGAAAGTGATGATAACAAACACTTAAGTAAGCAAGACGATTTCAGAGAATGGCAAGGGACACCGTGACTTGGTAGAGACTGGTGGTTACTTGAGAGTTGATAGTCATGAATCCCTCTCTGATGGGGACTTCAGTTGAGACTTGAATTATGTGGAATGAATAGTGCTTCAAATCTTGGTTGCCTTTAGTTTGGGACAAAAGCTACCACATTTAAGTTGCCTTCTCTAGTTCATGACACAACATACATTATACGATGGTGTTTCTGGACCACATGTCATGAATGATCACCAGAACAAGCTCCATGATCCCTGTACCCAGCCCCAAGCACAGTGCCAGGCCTACCCCAAATGTTCAGCAAACATTTGCTGAACGAATGAATGGAAGAGCATCTGAACCTGAACTCATGTGTCCTCCTCCAAATCGCTCCTCCCAGTTTTACAGTCTCAGTGAGCCAAGTAACACTCTCGTGGTTCCCCCAGCAGAGGCCTGTGTGCAAGCTCCGACACTTCCTCCCCTGTCCCTAAAGCTACACTCCCCTCCTGCACCCAAAGATGGCCTGTCACCAAGTCCTATCTGTTCTCTCTTTCTTTTGCTTGGGCATTTGGGGTTTTGTCCTCTTGGGTCCTCTTGATTTCTCTCTAGCTATTCCAACAGCTTCTTAATGGGGGTCCCAGCTTAGGCTTGCCCCTCTCCAGCTAATGGTCCATACTTCAGCCATATGGAGCAATATAGCCTATGTGATCAAACACCTGACTTACCACAGTCCCCCACAACTCCCCAGCTTCTTGGGATGGTAAACAAGGCCTGGTGTGGTTGGGACCAGGCCAACTTCCCCACCCACGGCTGGTTTACTGCTTTTTCTTGCATCCAAACCCCGGTAAGACCTGGAACCTCATTTGTAGGGCTGGGCCTTAGGAGGGGAAATGAATGAAGCACGTGTACGAGCTTTTCCTCTATGAGAACACCCTTCTGATGGAGCCTTGTGTGGTGGAACTGGGTCCCCTCACTCTGCATTACAAAGCCCTTTAGGACACACGGGGACAAAGGAAACCCAGGGGTGTTGTGCTGAATAACATGAAGTGGGCCCCTTACAAATAACTCCATGGCACCAGGGGCCACATAAAGCCTGGGGAGTGCATTGTGACAGTGGGGGGCAGGCTGGTGCCAGGCTCCTAGCTTCCAACAGGTACAGGTATGAGAAAGGCTGGCTGTGGTTTAGATTTCCTTTTTTTTTTTTTTGCAAGCGGGTCACCCTGTCACCTTCTCTTCTACAATCCAGCTGCTGTCTAAGGGAGCTGTTACTCCCTAGCACCCCACATCCACCACCCCTCGGAGCTGTGAAACAGCTCAGGGTCCTCTGAAATGGGGGCCAATGAACTAGACCCTGAGCAGCAGCCCCGACACAGCTGACCAGCTGGGGGTGCTGTAGGCTGGGGTGCTGGGAAAGCCTGTTGGAGGGAGGAGGGGCAGGTACCCAGTGAGGGGTAGCGTCCTCCTGTGTTCAGAGAGAATAAAGCAATTCTGTTATAACAGGCATTCTGCATTAGAGAAGATTGATTTGTCCTTCTGATGTGTTGTTTCCATAGAAGCAGGGCTTAACCTTTTAAGTGAAGTTTATAAAGCTACCTAATTCATGTAAAATTAGGCTTCAAGCACATCAGTGCTTAATGCTTAAGTGTTTCTGGGGGACTTGCTATGGCCATTGATCTGACTGTCAGGCACAGCCTATGACTTTCCACGTTTGAAGATGCTCTTACTGGTAGCAATCTAGTTTATTTACTTTAACAAATTTATCTCCTTCATAAAGAGATAAAACTTCTTGGTTAAGATCACCAGAATATTAATAAATACCTTTTAATTAATGACTAGCATGGACTCTTCATAAACACAGGCAGACCGGCACACAGGCATGAAACAGGCACTTTCAATTAAAGTAATTTATTGCGTTCTTCCAGAACGGACAGAGAGAGCATCTTGGGGATTGATATCACAACACAATGTCATACACCATTTTCACAACTAGCCTTGTGTTGAATTTTTGAAAAGAACAGAGTAATTTAAAAAAATCTAAATATTTACATATTAATAAAACATATATACAGAAGATTGAGACATTATTCATAGATATGGAATAATTTGTTTTTGATAAGAAAACCTATAGAAAGGATTTCTGAATAAAGTCTAAACAGTAGTCACAGTAAGTAAGCACAAATACAGTTTTAATGTACAAAGTATCACTTCACTCTTGCAGTTTTACGGTAGGTATTTTCAACTTGGGGATCCACCGCACATCCTGTGAGTTGGACAGTCCCCACCCCTCCTGCAGCAGTGAGAGCGCTGAGCTGTCGCCCCAGCTCGGAAGGGCGTGCTTCAAACATTCGAGCTTTATATTTAGCAGATGTCACAGTGGGAAGGCGAAAGTTTCTACCTTTATTAGCAACATATTCATCTTATTGTAACAGAATTGAAAGGTCACTAATTAATCTTTTCAATTCCCTTGAGACGTGTTTTCTTCTGAGAGGCAGCAGACAAGTTTTAAAACGTATGTTGCAGGAAAACAAAAACCCTGGTTCATAGTATCTCACCAGACACTCGGTGAGCAGAGGGACTGGTTTCAGGGGAGGGATTGCTAGCTGGCCTCAAATGTAAACGGCCAACTAAGGAGTGATGGAAATAACAACTCTGAACCTCCCTGGGAGCTTCAAGAAGAAGACAAATAAAAGACACACATATATGAGACGTAGCTGTCTAGCAGTTGGGGGGATTCCGCAGGCCAAACCTAGCACCAGCTTCCTGTCACTGTTGGTTGATGATCTGGTCTTCAGTGGAAAACTGATTCATCCCAGAGCTCCCTCCCTCCCTCAGGCTTAGCTGTTCAGTGTTCTGTGGCACAAGTACCTTGGACAGGGGAGTAAGGCATTTTGGTGCTGGGCCTGGCCAGGCCACTGATGATTACTGGCCCTGATGGTTACTCCTCAGCTGCCTCACTTGCAGAACGAGGGGGAGGGACTAAGGGACACAATTCTGAGCTCTAACACTCTCCAACTTGATAAGTGCTAGGGAAATGCATTAAACAGAAGCACAGCAGTTCCCCCTGCCCCCCCCCCCTCCCCGGGTTTTGGTGTTTGGAGTTCACCTTTCTTTCCAGCCAAATTTTGGCCTTTGGGTCAAGTGTCAAAGATTCAAGGTAATTTGCTTTATGCAATAAATGAGATGTAAGTGCAATGTTTCTAAATAAAATATGATTTTAAAGTCACCGTCTTATTAGAGAAAGGAATCCAGACATAAGTATTTCTGTAAAACAAATATCCACATGGTATAATATCTCTTTAAATGAATCCAAGTTTTCATTTGTTGGTTTTATATAAAGTGGAATGTATGTGTACTAGGGATCAAATAAAATACATAACATTAATATATTTGTGTCTGGTTGTCACACAACACCAAAACACTGAACCACTCACACAGTTAAAACCATCTGTCAAAAGAGTTGTTAGGTATCATGTAGATAACCACTTACTCTGAGTGCCTCACCTTTCAATGAGTTATTCTGTCACTGTGTCAACACAACCTACATGGAAGGCTTTTCTTTCCTAAGAATTCATATATCATTTTCATTTACTCAGTTCAAATGGTTACTTTAGGGAAACTGATGTCACAAATGATTTCCTCTAATAGAGCAGGGCAATCCTGTCTCCCAAACAATCTTTAAAAAAATTGATTGATTTTAGAGAGAGAAAACCATCAGTTTGTTGTTCCACTTATTTATGAATTCATTGGTTGATTCTTGTATGTACCCCGACCAGGGATTGAACCTGCAACCTTGGCAGATCAGGATGACACTCTAATCAATTGAGCTACCCAGCCAGGGCCTCTTTTTCATCTTTTAAGCTGATGAAGATCTAATTAATTTTGGCCTTAACAACTGCTCCCTCAGTACTGGAAAGTGCCATTCTCCTTTACATAGCAACTAAGCAATTTATGTTAAAATAAATATGCTTTAAAACTCCAAATATTCACATTGAAGTTCTGGAAGAAAAAAAAGGAAGAGAGCTGCTTCTTTTTAATGGACAATGAACTAACTGGATCAGATGCTGGACTTCAAGGGTGATGAATAAACTCTAAGGATGATTTTTAAAACTCTTACACCAAACTGGAGGCTGGCTTCTTACAGATGGCCAAAGATAGTAGATGGAAACTATTCACACAGGACAACTAAACTTCACAGGACACTCACACTTCGCAGTAAACTGAAATGCTGATGTGGATCTTTGAGGAAATTCAAAGGGAAGAGGTGCATATGCTAATGAACACTGTCACTAAATGGAAGTCTAGGCAGTGAAACAGAGCCAGGCTCTGTATCTTCCGTGTTTTCTCTCCTGGTGTCAGATATGTAACCTACAACAGAGACAAGAAAATGAAGGGGGCCGTTCCCTAAAGGAGAGCTATACACTTTCCTGCGACGTGGCTAGAGGTAGTTTGGATATGTGAAGAACGTTGTGGGTGAGGTGTCTGTGTCCTGTTTAAATCATGAATTTTTAGCCAAGGCTTTCATTGTACTAAGTGAACAATTTTAGCCATTAGAAATCTGTAATAATTATTTTAGCAAGAGAGCCCTCGAATGTGTGTTACTATTAGAGGGTGTTCATATGTTGTCCAGGAACAGAAAATGGCTAATGTGATTTACCTGTAAGACAGAATATCATGCAGCTATTAAAATAATGTGTATGAAAATTTGTAATAAAAATGGAAAATGCTTGTTAGGTTAAAAAAAAACTTAGGAAAAGAAAATTTTATGTATTTGATCTCCATTGGATAAATCAAATAAGTATGGAGAAAAGTCTGGGAAAATAAAACCCAATAATGATTGTCTCTGGGTGATAAAATTAATTTACATTTTCTTCCTTATATTTTTCTTTATTAATTTTTAAGAGATTTTATTTATTTATTTTTAGAGAGGTGAAGGGAGAAACATCAATGTGTGGTTGTCTCTTGAACGCCCCCTGCTGGGGACCTGGACCAAAACCAAGGCACAGGCCCAGACTGGGAATCGAACTGGCGACCCATTGGTTCACAGTCTGGCGCTCAATCCACTGAGCCACACCAGCCAGGGCTCTTTATTAATTTTTAAAGCACGTGTAAAAGAATGCCAATTTATGACAAAGATTGTTAAGTGCAGGTGAGCTCCGTACTCCTCTATTTCAAATTCAGAAGCCTCCTTATTAAATTTTAGAAAGCACTGTTATGATTTTACTTCCCCCCCACCACAAACTGTTCCCAGACCCTGGATGTTTCTGTCATTACCAGGGCGCTCTCCCTGCACCTGGCTGCAGGGTGTCTTGGCCTCTGTTTGTCTCACCAGGCCGGGCTCTTTGGGGGTGGGCATTTGTTCACCAGAACCTACCACGGTGCTGGCTCCTGGGAGCTGCTCAAAAATGCTCACCAACAGGGTTGAGGACAAAGAAATAAAGAAAATGTTTTTCCACTATAAAATCCGTATCCATTCTTGTTAAGACTAGACACAGAAGTTTGCTTAAATGTAATGGATTGAGACAAATGTCATTTGACTGCCAGACTGTAACCCTGACTTGCCTGATTCTGGTTCATAGAAATACTAAGGATTTACACCTCTCCCCCACCCTCCTCAGAACCTGTGAATTTGGAAGGGAAAAAAGACCTAAAGTTAATCAAGGCATTGTTAAATCTTTAGAGAGGACCAGCTGTTGTCAGCTCAGATTAATGTACAAAGAAGGTCTGGCCAGTGACACTCAAATCTCAGGAAAAAGCTCCTTGTACAAGAAAGGTGGAGTTCACCTCTTAGTCTCCCTGGGGTGCACGCAAGGAGGGAGGGATCAGTAGTAGCTTAGAGTCCAGAGGAGCCACCAGATTGGGCGACAGTCAAGAGACAGGCTATTCTAATCAAGATTTAATTTCATTGCAAATTTGGGGCACCAACCTGGAAATTCTTTTCCCCTTTTCTAAATGATAAACAGTATTATCTCACTGTTTAGTCATTTGTGCCAAACATCTATCAAGAGTCTAGTGAAAGGACCCGCAGGGCCATTCTACTCCTGTCTTCATTACAACCTCACAGCCCTGGGCAACATTCGAGAAAGAATTCCATGAGTTTGAAAGTGTAGTGGACTTCATGGGGACTTACGATGGGCCTTCTAGCTGTGGAGACTGTGCGACAGTGAGAAGGAATCCTACAGGGATTAGTACATCATCAACTCTTGGGATCTTTAAGAAACATGCAGAGAAAAGCTGGCTTTGGCTTAGGTGTAAGAAAGCTACGCGGTGTAATGACGAGCAGGCGAGAGGCCTGGCCTCTGGGCAGGCCACCAACCAGCTGTGAGACCTTGAGAAAGTCACGTGGTGTTTCTGGGCCTCAGGCTTTTTTACCTGTAAAATAAAAGGACTGGGTAAAAAGAAAATATGGGACTAGATGATCTCTAATGTTCCTTCATACTCAGATTCCTTGAAATTCTTTTCAGTTCCATGGGGTTGTTCTACCATCCCACGTTCAATTTTCTCATCTGAAATGTCTCTTTGGCTCCATCCTCAGACAGGAAAATGCAAAGGGCAATGGGCTTCCTGTAATAATTTTTAAAAGCCCACTGTGTCAGATGACAGTGAGGACAGGCAGTGCAAATGTCCTGGGGCAACAGGCTGGAGGGGAGTAACGCTGGAGAGCACAACCAGAGCAGCACGATATTCCTCCCAGCGGCCCCCTGAAGTGCACAGTTCCATTATTGTATTTCATGTGTCTCCTGGGAATGGGCCAGGGGTGAAAGGCACACGGCTAACATGAGTTGTCCTGATATTCGGAGGACAGAATGGGAAGGAACAGTAGAGATCATGCATTTCAATGATGTGGACACATAGCTGAACAAGAAGAGAAATCCCTCTATATAATGACTGTACAGTACACTCGATATAAGCAGATCCTTTTTTCACTCGTCCCTCAATCTGATGCTCAGCCAGAGTGACAGAAAGCACTGTATCATTTACATGGCTGAGCTTTCTTGTTGCTCTTAAGTTCACTGACATACGTCTGCCCTACACCACAGCACTGTGCTTCACTTGCCATCTCAGGGTAAGGGCCATCAGTGCACACACGACCCAGGAGCGTGCCTACACAGACTAGCTGCTCCATTCATATTTGCTGATTTCCACTGAAAACTCAGCAGCCCAAATCTAGAGGAGAAAACACTGAGTTGAGCTTTTTCCCCTAGGAGGTTTTTTGGCATCTAGGTTTGAGGGTGGTCAATAAAGAGTCTTGAGGCCAACTGAGGGAATAAACTGTTTGCCACACGGCTCCGTGATCAGAAATCTGTCCCTCTGGCTCTCAGGCAAGAACCGGAGAAGAGGCAGGAGGGGAGAGTCAGAAGCATATCACTTGAGAGTTAAATAATGTGAAGTCACACTGATTCTATGGCTTAACATTATAGTAGATGCTTCAGTGAAATGTTACACTGCGGGGACCTGGTTATAACATTAATAATGTGCCACCCATGCCAGATGGCTTTGCCTGTTCAGTCACTCAACTAGAACGCAGTATTCACTAGGTGCCCACTGTATGAAGGGGGATGACTGACTGCCTCTCAATGCCCATTGGGGCAGGTGGAAAGGAAAGAATGGACATGAATTTCATCATAAAATTGGTGGCCTTTGTTCTAAAAAGAAATGCCATTATCACATTAAAATATTTTTTAATGTACAGAGGTTTGGGGAGGCAAAATCTTATGACACTAAATCCTTAGGACCTGCTATTCCGAGGTTTTTAAGAATATAAAACTGTGTGAGAAAAATGTAGCTTTTCACATTCAGTGTGAAAAATATGTCTGAACAAAGGGCACTGAGGACCTCTGATGACCTGGGTCTGTTAGAGGAGCATTTACTCAGGCATCTGCATCTCTAATGCTAACATTTTCAATGCAAATATTTTCCTGTGCTGTGTTTTCCAGCCGATGATGAAAATGTAAATGTGTTTTACCTGTTGGTGGTAGAGAGATGCCATCCAGTCTTTCATCACCGTCAGCTACCTCTGCTGGTTACAAACATAAAACACGAATCTCATTAGTTTCAGGAGCACATCTGTTTTACTGAATACAGTCATACAATTAAAAAACCCCAGTATATATGAGTTTTCACCTTTCTTTTCCCTTTTCAGCTCCAGTTGGTTCATATTCCACACTTTAGTACCAATATTTAAGTAAAATAGTTTAAAGATGATGTAAAATCAATTTTCCTGTACTAAAATTTTTTATATCTTATGAAACTTGTTCTATCCATCATTGATGACTGCAGTGCATTTCACTTATTTACATAGGCTTAAATATCCACCCAGAACTTGGGGTGAATTGTTTAAATACAATCATGAAGGCACAGAGGTCAGTGAATTCCTGTGCCAGAATTTTGCTTGTCATCTCCAGAACCATTCCCGAGGGGCAGGCTTAGGACACCTTGAGAATAAATCTTTTCAGATGACTGGAAATTCAGATCCTAGAGCTGCCAGCATAAGTTGACATCAATTCAGTCATAAGAAAATCAGAGGGAATAAGCATTTCTTTAAAAGCAATTCTATGTTTTAAAATGCAAACCTTTGCTCATCTCTGATATGTTTCAATCTCCTTTAGAGTTTTCCAGAAAACCTTCCACTAAATGCAAAAAAGAAGGTGCCCGTATGGCTCCTGAGAACTGATGGGCTACAGGACAGGTCAAAACATTTCATTATGGCCATCTGGGTGACTTCAGCTGCTCCCATCTCCCGGACCTAGTGGCCCCATGGGGAGTTTCCTGCCCAAAGTCCTGCAGGTGTGCAGGTGAGGCCAGTCACAGGAGGGCTGCCATTTTTATCACGTGGTAATGCTATGTTGGTGGGAAGCGAACTAATACTGTTTTCTTGTTTTTATTGCAGTTGCTTTACACATAATCAAGGTTCACAGATTTCCACCCTAGTTCAGCCTCTCACATCTCGTCCTCAGACTGCTACACTCTGACATCAGTGAGAGGCTCTTTCTCTGCTGACCTGCTCAGTCCACCACAAAGAAAAAACACCGAGAAGAGACAGAATAGTCAAGATCAATTTGGGCTAGAAAAGAACAGAAACCACTAAAAATTATGCTGTAGATGAATACTTAGCAACAAAAACATTAAAGTCAAGCAGTAAGACAAATGGAATAAAATTTTGCATATAGATTTACAGACAAAATACAGGACAAACTAAAATATTAACAGTGTTTCTCTGGATGAAAGACTTACAGGTATTTAAATTTTTTTTTCTAAAAAAATTATTCTGTATATTTAAAGAATAACAAACATGTTACATTTATATTTAAAAGACATTATTTTCTTCCAATTGGTTTGAGTGGATTTGAACAGGTAGCTGAACTTGTCTAGGATTTAAAAAATTCTCCAGCAATAATAGCAATAGCAATGCTACCACTATTTATTAGATGCTTTCAATTTACTGAGCACTTCACTTGCATTGTATTGTCTCACCCTTAGAAAACCCCACAAGGCAGGTCTGTTATTACATCCATTTTAACAACCGAGAAAATGGAGACAGAAAGTTAAGACATTTACCTAGGTTGATATAGCCAGTAAATGGCACTGCCAAGGGTCGACGCAGGTTTCTGCCTGGGCTCTTAGCCTCTTTGCTGTTAATCATGCAAACATGTATCACATGCATCGTGTATAATTGCTTTTCATTTAGTTATAGCAAAAATCAGTTCTGGGTATAAGCTGATCTTCCCTTTGTAATTAAGTTATCCTCACTTTAAAAAAGCAGGCCTATGCAATTAGGTGCTTTTTAGTAAGAACAGAACATATGGAAGCAAAAAGGTGTATGAGTTGGTAAATGCTGGCTGCATGAACAGGGCACAGTGTCATGGAGGCAGAACATGCCTGTGTTACTTAAATTTAATTGTAACATCTGTCTGTAATAACGGGCTCACCATCTTTCTTCCCTGGTGACAGTCAACTTGTAAAATTTGGAAAAGATTGAGCAAGTCCAATAAAAATTTAATAGCAGTGACAGCTTTACTCTTAGATCTAACACACACACACACAATTGTGATTTCAGCTCTGAGGAAATAATCTAATGAAAATGATAAAAATCCACACCAGGAGGGGCATCATTCCAGTTATAGAAAAAAATTATTACATGTAATGAGAGCCCCAAATGAATTTCTATTTGTACGTACAACCTTCCAGACCTGCGCGGGGCGCCTCCTTTTTCTAGAGGCAGTGCGAGCTCCCTTAAGCAGTGAGTTATTAGCTTGCCCAGGTGGAGCCTGTATCTAATTCCAGGAACTGAGCCAAATACGATAAATAAGGTTAAAGTTGTGGAATGTCTATGAGACACTTCTTGGATTATCACTTAGAACCAACGTAAGACAAAAAACAGGAGAGCAAGCAATATTATCGAGAGGTCCCAGTTCTACCAGCATGACAATGGAAATGCAAGTGGCTCTAGTTTCAATTTGCCGGGATCCCACTTTTATGCTGCCTGGGGAGAAGGCAGTGTAGCGGGACATGATGGAATTGGGAGACAAAACCCATTTGGCAGGCCCCTGCTGAAGTGCTGGCATTTTGGTGTGGTATGTACATCAGGGTTGGTTTTGCAGGTGCTGTCCACTTTTCAGACACTAACAGAACGTGCTAGAAGGGCAGAGGAGTGTCACGGTCCCGATCCCAAACATCTAGGCAGATAATCTAAAACCAGTGGTCGAAGTGAAAATACCCAAATATGATGATAACCACAGAATGGTGCCCACAACGTTCCCAGCACTTGGGAGGCTCCCGCAGGAAGGGAAGAGTGTGTGAGCCGTCTGCGGTTTGGGTCCCATTCTGTAGAAACAGGTGCGGTCGTGCGGAAATGAGCATGTGCCATGTGGTTTACTGACATACATGCTGGGTTGGTTCAGAGATGTGTTCACTGGCCAGTCTGTCTGTGGGAAAGAGAAACAGGAAAAAAGTCCCCACTGTGCGCATGTGTGTTTGTTGGGGGAAAGCAGGGAAGGGAATGGGACCAGGACTCATTATAATTGGTCTTAGCATCTGAAATAGAAAAAAGGGTGGGTTTATGTATAAAGTATTACTGTATATATTAATATATATAGTATGGGGAAACAAAATTTAAACTGAACTTCGTATTTCAGTCACATGGCCCATTGCCAGAAAGGCTGTTTCTGTATCCCTGAGAAGAGGCCTCTCCAATACACTCAGTAGGCACTCAACATCCTCCCCACTCTTTGTCTTCAATGTTTCAGGTCCTTTAGGGACTCATAATCACCTCCAGCTGGAGACACATATTCTGTGACACTGATTTCTCCACCTACATCAGTAATATCAGCATCCTGGATTTAGATTTCTCGCCCCTCAAGCTGCCAAGAAGCTTCAAGTATTTCTCACAGTTTCCCTTTATTCCTACCAGCCCCTGTGGAACAGGAAGGGACGGGCAGGCTTCTGTGCATTCTGAGGAGAGGAATTTGCTAGAAGTTGGTGGCACAGTTGGGACACTGTGTGAAGAACCAAAGGGTGGCTGGTTTTTGAACAACTTTGGCCCTTGCTTTTCCTTTGCGCTGAGTATTAAATTTAAGTCTCTTCACCATGACAAACTTTAGATCTCTCTCAAATCTGAATATTATATTTAGTGCCTTTTTTGAGGGGGGTGGTTAACAATTTTCCCCTGCAAATCAACGGGCAAATGGAGTTCTCACATACCTAAGTGGTCAAGACTGCCAAGGCAGAATTTAGGCAATGCAAGACCAACTGAATACTAGCAAGCACAGCCCTCAGGATTCATACTTGAAATTTAATTTGGGATATAAAATCGATGAGATATAGCACCCAACATGATGTCAGTGCTCAAAAAGGTGTTACTGTGTAAGATGATTGGGAAGTTGTCTTTGATAACACCTGTTGCTATCTATAAATTGTTTTTTTCACCCCAATTCTTTCCTGGAGTCTGAAATCTAAATAAAGGGGCCAAAGTAATACAAGGGGCTTTTGTGAGGTGACTCCAGGCTGAGGCAGGAGACCTTTATTATAAGAAGTGATACGAGACTCTGCTGGCAGGACTGAATCTTTGTAGGTGTTACTCAGTTAACCTACCCTGAGTGAGGTCAGCACCATGAAGTAAGATTCTTGACCTTTGGGGGAGGAAGAGAGAAGACAGGAAATTGGGAGGGAACTAAAGAGATGGGGGATCAGAGAAGGAAGTAAGAGAAAGGGAACTCTGTGATGACCACGTAGCAACAAGGATCCACTAAGGAGCCCCAGGAGCCCTGAGGATCTTGTTCCCGAGGGCGGAGCTCAGGGACATTGCTGACCTGCAGGTTTTGGGATAAGAATTTGAACCTCAAGGAAGGAGCTGACGAAAGAATATTCTCCAAGATCTCACATGACCTAGATGAGCTAAACAGTAAGAACTTTCTGTTGTAGACTATTGTCTCTCCTTTTCCAGGGACTGATTTGTTGGTTCGTTTGTTGGTTCCACGCTGGGCCACACACTGTTCTAGATACTTGGGACAGAAATGTGACTCGGACACCATCTCTGCTCCTTGGGCTCTCATGGCCACTGGAGCACACAGGTGGGCAACTATTCTGCTGGGAGGAGACCAAAGTGCTGTAGCCACCTGGGGGGGACCCAGGAGAAGGAACCTCCATGTGGTGACAGGAGGAGGCTTTGTTTTCCAGGCAGAGGAAAACATGAGTTTGAAAACCTAGCATATTTCAGAACAGGGAGAGTTTGCAGAAGAAGAGGCTGGTCAGGGGGTAAGGCTGACTGTGAAGAACTTTGCCTGCCATACTGGGGAGCAGGGGTGTGCGGAGAAGGGATTTTACTGTGGGGGTGACCCGAAACTAGCAGAAGTGTCTAACTGGGGTGGGAAAGACCAGATTTCATTAGCTGAGTTACAGAGAGGGAAGTCTTGGGTCTCGGGCCATGGCCATATCTGGGGCTGCACACCTGAGAGCCACTGACCATGGGACAGTCCAAGTCAGGAGTGAGGGTGTAGAATGAGAACAGCACTGAGGATGGAAACTTGGGAACGCTCGGTTTAGGAGACAGGTGGAGAGAGAAAGGCAATGAGGGAGACTGAAAGCATTGACAGAAAATTTGGAGGAGAAACAGAGAATGAAGTCATAGAACCCAAGGGAAGAGAGTTTCAAGGAAGATGAGATTCCACAGAGTAAAAATCAACATGAAGGTCAAGTCAGAGTGTTAATATAAACAGCAAGGGAAATCTGATCTTTGGGATGTGATTGCAGCAAAAGCTCCAGTAGAGGAGTGAGGTCAGAGGGCAAAGTGCAATGGATTCCAAAGTGAACTGGGATGGGGGAGGCACACCGGGACGCAAACCCTTTTGGAGGAATTTTGACCAGCAATGTTAAAAAAAAAGAGAAGGTAGTGTTTTTAGGAAATGGCAAGGATAAAGGAGTTGTTTTGCTTTCGGTTGGCAAAGGGGAGGAGGACAAGGTCATGGATGTTTTTTGAGCATCATTATGTATCAGTCTTTGTTAGTGGCAATACTTACATTGTCTAATTCTAACTCTGAAAACACCCCTGGGGTAGCTGTTAGCCTCATACAAATGAAGAGTGCGAGGCTCAGACACATAGAATAATTTGTCCAGAAGTCGCAGGATTTTGTAAATGACAGCTCAGAGCTAGGAATTCACACTTGTTCTTTCCACTATACTATACTGTGTTTGTTCACGATGATTTGTAATGAAGAAGAAGGCAGTGAACACTGAGAGACCTAGGAGGATGACCAGATCATTTATTCAAGCCTAGAATCCTTTGCAAGTGAAAGGGATGTTATTAATTATGCCAGGAAACAGGTAAAGCAGGACTGCCCATGCACAGCAGGCTGGTGGTCCCCTGGCCTAGGACAGAGGGGCCCACGAGGTTATGACTTCCTCAGCGACCTCCACCACTGCCAGGCACCGCTGTGTACAATACAGACATTCCCAGAGAGGATACACCAGTGTCCTCTATGAAGACATCTTTGTACAACATGTGTCTGGAGCCTCACGACAACTCTGAGGTGGCTTTATTTTTATGTCCACTTCATGAAAGGGTCACTGAGGATGAAAAAGGTGGGGTGACCTACCCAAGGTCAAGAGCTGGTAAAGAGCAGACATAACACTTGCAAACCAGCTCTTCTGACCCCATTATAATTTATTACCTGATGTGATAATACATTTTTTACTAATTAGTATAACAGAAAGCAAATGGTTAAAAAAGATGAAGGAAAGATTTTTAATAAAAAATCATCTAAAGATAAATATTTTATTTGGACATGACCTTGGGACCTAGAACTTTATGCACGACTTCCATAACTCTGTCACCGTTAGGTCAAAGGATGCTCAGGGACAGCATACAGAGATGACCTTGCAGCTGAGTGTTTTAGTTAGAGTCCTGATGGCCACTTTCAGAAAGAGCTCTAAGGTTTTCCACACTGAAAACCACTTGGGCCCTTGGTGCCCATGTGTCCCGTTGTTGCCACAAGGGCATTCCCAGCCTGTGCCAGGAGCTCTCCCCAGGCTCGGGCATGGTGATGACTGCTCACTGAGTTCACATGCAGCCATCTGTTGGTGACACAGCCTCATGCTCTCTTGGACCCCCATGACATCCAAGCCTGCAACCTTTCAGTGCCTAAGGTCGTCTTCTCCCAGACTCTCACCTCCAGCCACAGAAGCACAGAAGGGTCCACGCAGGCCAGGCATCTGAAGTTTGATCAGGATCTTTAAAAAACCTAGAGATGACTTTCTAGACCTTCTAGAGATGACTATTTTATTATCCTTATTTTTTGTTTTTATTTTTTAAAATCCCCAACCATGGATACGTTTATTGATTTTTAGAGAGAAATGAAGGGGGAGGAAGGGGAGGAAGGTGGGAGAGACAGAGAGAGAGAGAGAAACAGAAAGAGAGACAGACTTCAATCTGTTGCTTCCTGTACACTCCCCAACCAGGGATCAAACCCATAACCTAAGTATGAGCCCTGACTAGGAGTCAAACTAACAACCTATTGGTGCACTGGATGATGCTCCAACCCACTGAGCAACCTGGCCAAGGCTTTTTAAATTTTGTACTTATTGATTTTTAGAGAGAGAGGAAGGGGCAGTGAGAGAAAAAGATTGATTTGTTGTTTCACTTATTTATGTACTCATTGGTTGATTCTTGTTATGTGCCCTGACCCGAACTCAAACCTGGAACCTTGATGTATCAGGATGATGCTAAAACTAATTGAGCTACTTGGCCAGTGCTAAGATGATTATTTTACACGATGACAGAAAACTGACCTCAAAGGGATTCCCCACTGATAAGTGGGCCCACTGTCATTTTGGGGAGGTTGAGACTTCAAATGACTAAATAATCACAATTAACTAGTGTTCATTTTTTTCTGGAAGAAATCCTAGAATCACCAAGCCCAGATTAAAAAAACAATTTAAATCAATTTAAATCAATAAATACTTGGCTTAGGATTTCTTTCTATTACATGTGGTGTTTCAGGTAGGATGATTATTATTTTTTTTTACCTTAAATAGTACTTTCTGTCAGGCAGATCCAAACAAACAGAAATCAACAGGCAATGGAAGCAAATCACAAAGGAGAGACTTGCTTTCATCCATAAGACATGCAAGCACGCGGGTGCTGTTAGCAATCTTTCCCCCTTTGGCCTGACATACTTTTCCTATCTAATCTTCAGGTGAATTTCAGAATTCATTTCAATAGAACTCTCAAATACAAAACCACGACACATTATAAAGAGCATCTCCTTCAGAAGACAAGAGACAATGGAGCACCCTAGAGCAAAGCATTCTACTTTGCAATGTCTGAGAATTCAATAAAGGGCTTCTGCAATTATTTTCTTGTAGCTTATTCATACCTGAGCCTCTTTTTAACCTTCTTCTGGCCAGTTTAATTTGATCCTGTAGAATCTGTACCCAGTCTCTCGGGCCAGGAAGTTTATCCACGTGATTAGCAGTACAGTACTTTTCTGTGAAGACTGGAAGAAAATGTGAAATATCATTAAATGCTTTAACAAATAAAATAGACGGATCTGAGACAGGAATATATCCCAAGAAGAAAAAAAAGCATGTTGCTAAAGGACAATGGTTCCACAGTAGATACCTTCACTATCCGTAGTACACTCCTCTGGTGAAGGCGGAGCTTGGCACAGCCCTGGCCACATAAAATGTACTGTGCTTCACAATGGAACCAGCTATAAACATTCAGCAATTTCTATGGAAGGTGCCTTTTCTACTTGCTCCATGTCCATGATATACGTCTTATGAGCACAGAAAAAAGTGCTTTCTGTGGGTCCACTGGCCCCATGACAAAATTCAGCAACTATATTAAAATATTTCACCTTTTTGTTATTAATTCAAAATCTAATGTGAAATTACACAAATAAGATGATGTTCTCTTGGTGATTCCTACTAACTCAATCCGTTTTCAGAATAAATAGGATGTAGTTGTATCTTAATGGAAGTTCCCATTCCATGTTGAGTCAACTTCTTACAATACTCCATTGGCTTCTAGGAAAGAGCTACCTGTTAAGCACAAAAGGAAGTATGGAGAGTCATAGAAGGTGATGAAAGGGAGGCCAGGCAATTATCTTACTAAAGCCATACAGAGTGTGACTGCACACACAGGTGCTGACGTTGACAGTTCTGCTTCACGTGCCATTCCTGAGCGCCTTCCAACCTGCTCTTCGTAAGGTCAAGACCAAGCATGTACTCACGTCACACTACCTTCTTGGTATTTAAAATATTGGTAATCTTAATGTTTTAAAGGCTTTTCTAAAAAGGAAAATGTTGACAGATTCAACTGTTGTGTAAAGCTATAACATTTCTATTGAATGGAAAATAAATATTTCATTGAAATGAGGAAATCTACTTGCACTAAATGTGACTTGAAAAGGTTCAATATCTACCACCACATAAAGCACTCATTCAAATAAAAGAGCCACTTCAAAAGTTTCTATAGGTAACGGACAAAGTGTATTTAGCAAAAAAATTAGGAAAAATATTCAATACGTAAGCTCCCAAATTGTAAATCACACTTTATACCTACTAAATTAGAAGAACAATGCTAAAAAGCTAACATACTTAATATTGATAAATTGTGGGGCTCTGGCACAAACATTACTATTGGCATAGCTGGCAAAACCCTTTTGGAAAACAAGATGGTAATATATAATGAGAAGCATAAAACTGTTTTATGTTTGGATTGGTAGTCTTATTCCTAGAAATTTATCCTAAGGAAATAATTTGAAAGAAGGAAAAAACTCCACACAAATGTAGTGAATCCAGTCTGAGTTAGGGCCGAGCTAGTGAAGATGGAGGGGTGACCAGATCTGTATCTAGAATGGGCATTTCTGCAGAATCACATGACCTGGTAACTACAGAAGAACTGCAAGGTTTGTAACGGGAGAGGCAGGTGTATTCAGCTTGGTTTGGGACATGCGGTGTTTGGCGTCTGTGGGGCACCCATGTGGAAATGGCTAGCAGATATTTCTGTACAGAGGCCTGCAGTTCAGAGAAGGGTCCAGGCTGATACCAGTTTCAGAGGGACAAACATTTAAAATGACAGAAAAAAACGTTGACCAGGGAGAACATATCCCGTGAACAGAGTGCTGGGCCAAACACAGAGCTAGAGAGAATCCCAGTGGCTGAGTGGAGATTAAGGTACAGGAGTCCATGAAGGAGGCCAGGATGGGCTAGGAAGAGAAGGACTGGGAAGGGAGGAGGGCTGAGGGACAGGAAACCTGAACGTTTACAAGCCGAGGGAAGTAGCATCGTTGTGGGGAAAACAAGATCCAGGAAAAAGGAGACATTCAAAAGAGCCATTCCAGAAGAACTGCGAGGCAATGGGTCAGGATAGAAATGGAGGGTCGCCCTCAAACAGGAGGAACTTCTTTCTTCTGACCCCAGAGGCTGGTAAGACTGCGGCAGATCCAGAAGTGGTTATAGGTTGGAGTAATCACTCCTGAGACCTCGCTGAACTTTTGGTGAGGGGAATGGAGAGTGCGGGGAAGTCTGGAATTGCCTGTGAGAAGAAAGCAGCAGACTGAGGATGTGAGGAGAGCCAGTGGGAGTGTGATGTTGGCAACGGTTTGTAGGAGCAGGCCGTTTTCTCCCATGCTGCCCCACAGCCCTTCCCCAGGGGTGGAGTGGAGCGGAGACCCTGAATGGTAGGGCTGGTCTTGGGTTAGAATTTTTCTGGACAGTTTTGGCAGAAGGACAGGGATACAAAGAACTTGAAGATGTTGATGAAGATGCCACCTTGAATGAGTTACTTCGACTTTCCTCACTCTCCCTTCCCACTCAAATCTGAGAAGGAAGTGAAACCAGGAAGAGGCTCACAGAGATGGAAAAACCCACAAAGACCAGGGAATGCAAATATCAGCAGGGCTGGGGAGCTGCTGTGGGGTAAGGGCAGTTGGGAGGATACTGCTGGAATACAGACAGTGGTGGCGGAGCAGTTCTGGACTGGAATGCTAAGGTGTGATCAGGGGTGGGGCTGAAATGTAGCTGAGGTGAATGTCACTGCATTTGAGATCTGGGTACTATGTGGCTGAGGGGTCAGGTGGATCTTTCATGTGGAAGCGAAGTTATCCAGGATGACAGTGTAATGAGAGAACAAGGGGAAGACGTGTAGCTGTAGTTGCAGCCTTAGCAGAAAGGACCCTTCCCAGACCAGCTGAGTAGAGGAGTGATGGTTAGGAAGCAGAATTAAGGATCAGGGAAAAAAATCAAAGATGGTGCCCAGTATGTGATATGTAGGCCAGGTGAGTAAGGAGTCTCCACTTGGGATAGATGCAGAGGGAACGATATACCTCTGGGGGTTGGGTGTGTTTTTGAACCCCCCACACTAGGTTATAGACACCTCAGGGCCTTCATTTATTTTGTCTCCCTCAAAGCCTATAATAGTACTTTGTACTGATTAAGTTCTTATACAATAAACATTTGATGAATAAACACATTTTCTAGTTTTGTTTCTAATAGAAGCGAATACCACAGCTCACAAATGTAGACTAATTCTGGAAGGAAGGCCTATCTGAATTAATAGGAAGCCTTAATTAATAGAATATAGTTAAGGAAACAAGGTTTTATTACATTCAAATGCCCACAATCATGTTTACTTATCAGAAAATTGCCAAAAGATTCTTGAAGTCCTGTTTTAATGAATATAAAAGATTTGTATTTAGCACCCTATTAATTTATATGAAAATGTATACCACCAAAAGGATTAAATATACTGTTCTAGCAGGTAAACAGCTCCCTCCTTGTAATATTATTTGTATAATTAACTTCCATAGCGGCCCCTCTTTTCTTAGACTGTGAAATGCAGGTGTCCAAATTGGCACCCATTAGAAAGTAGTGGTTCCAAATTAACGAAGTAAATTTGGGTTACGCCCACATAAAAAATGATCCCCCAGCCTCGAAAACCAAAAGGAAGGTTCTGGAAGGTTTCTCCCACTCTGTGAAGAGCTTCCAAGCAGATCTTTTGAATCTAATCTTGAGCTCAGGCATTCTGTCACTCACTGAGAAGGCAACAATTTCTGGGTATTTTTTCAGTTAAAACCTATCTAGTTTCAATAAATAGAAGCCAGAAGTCTCTGTCTCCTGGTTTGTGTCTCAGACCACTGAAAGCACAGTCTTAAGCTTCTCAAAAAATATCAATACAAACAAATATTTCCACTGGGTCTATTTTGACATTCTATTTCATGGACTACATTCACACTCAGAAACAACTTTCAACTAGAATCTACGTCCTGAAGATGAAATCTTACTCTGTTGCACACACAGATGAGGCCTTAGGCCAAAATATTGTGATTGTGTTAACCTGAAAACACTCAATATGTGATGTGAATAGAGGTATCGAGTAAGCAGAAATATTTTTGATATCTGAATCTATGGCTAAAGGTCAAGCTATTATCCTGGTAACAGTTCCATTAGGAGTAATGATGTGAGAAGAGGTACTGCATTAATGCATTGGTTTCCTACCATGTTAATTGTGGGTCATTAAGAATCATAGTACAACAATTTGCATTCATCCTTAGAATGTAATGGGTCCTAAAAGGAAATTTTCTTCCTTTACATAGTATTAACGGGAAGCAAGGGCTAATGTTAAGCAAGTCCAAGCAATCTAAACAAGTGGATGAAGGCCAACAATTAAACTAAATAAGAGTAAAAGTACCTACATTGCTTAATATAATTTGAGGTCCCAAGGCACAAAGAGTATATTAAGCCACTGGAGAAATGACAAATGTTCAATTTGATCTGTACATGAATAATGACTTTTCTCAGATGCTTGCATTCATTTGAGCCATGCCCTTTAATTGTATATAAATAATGAATAAGCTAGTGGTGGCTGAGCAGATCCTTCCTTCCATAGGAACGTGGCATTTAAAATAATCATCAATGAACACAGCAGTGTGTGGCGTGTCTGAATGCAACATGCTGAGAACAGAGCAGATTGGCCAGGTTCCTCAAAGAGCTGTGTGTTCACACAGCAGTTCCTAGAGGACTCTTCACTTAGATTTTTCTGGCTCTCTATGCTAGGAAGAGCAGAATATGGTATGAATTTTTAAATGGAGTCATCGGACCATACAGATGCTTAAAGGGGCAGGAGTAGATAGAACAGCTTTAATTTCACTGGGAAATGCTCCAAGAAGGCGAAAACTCTGGCCAGCAGTGAGTATCCACTTCTGATCTGATGCCTCCGTTTTAACTTCTGGTCAGGCAAGTCAAAGTCAGGCTGCCATCAAGCAGAACTGAAAGCTGGGTCCTCATTACATCTGCCAAACTCCCAAACTTGAGGGGACCAGGGAGGAGGGTGATAAAGAGCTGTGCACAGAAACACTTGTGGCTGGGAGTGTGCAAAGGCGGGGGAGCCCTTGGACCAGCCCACAGGTACAGGAGGGGAGACCAGGTTCCCTGCAGGCCGCTCGAATTATCCTACCTCTTCACATGGGAGGACGTGTAAAACCAGCACCCC